CGGCCCACGAGGGCCCCGAAAACACCCCCACGATGTTTCCGAATGCCAACATTCATTGATTTTGCTCCTATGACATTTCACATTGTGACCCAGCCGTTGAGGGTCTCGCGGCATGCAGCGAAGATGCCCGAGGCTGCCCCGCACGAGTTGCATATGCATGTTCATATCCTTACACACACATACATATATATATATATATATATATATATGTATGTATGTACATATGTACGCTGTATACACACATACAACAATGTAAGTCTATTGTATACACCTAGACATGTATACGGAACGTGCATGCACGCGCGCGTGTATACATGCATGCGCGCATGTACGCACGCACGCATTCCGCTTGCGTGCAGAACTCAAAGGACCAGGGTGCATGGCGCGCAGCGCCAATGCAGTCTTGTGTATATATATATATATACATACACCTGTACGACCACCCTTCGGGCGATAAGGAGGTTGTGGGGGGGAGATAGAGAGAGAGGGGGGAACCAACATCTGATTCAATCGATCTCACTATCGATCTCACTCAACGGAACACCACGGGACACTTGTCGATCTCACTATCGATCTCACTATCGATCTCACTCAACGGGACATCACGGGACACCACGGGACACTTCGGGCACCACATCGATCTCAGTATCGATCTCACTATCGATTTCATTCAACGGGACACCACGGGACACCTGTCGATCTCATTATCGATCTCACCATCGATCTCTTTTTTTGGGACACCGCGGGACACCTCGGGGCACCACATCGATCTCACTATCGATCTCACCATCGATCTCACTCAACGGGACACCACGGGACACCGGCGGGACACCGCGGGGCACCGGCCGCCGGAGGAGTTACATTTGGTCCGGCCGCGGCCCAGCCACAGGAGGATTTCGGGACACCGGCAGGACACCGCGGGGCACCGGCCGCCGGAGGAGTTACATTTGGTCCGGCCGCGGCCCAGCCACAGGAGGATTTCCTCTCGCGCGCCCACGCAGCTTCGCCTCGCACGCACGCACGCACGGCACGCACGACACGAACCAGGAACCGAAATCGATTTCCCGGTAGGGGGGGTCTCCGTTTCACGTCGGACTCACCCCCCAATCTCCAATGTATATATATATATATACACACACACAAACAGATTTATATGAGTGTGAGAAAATGCGTCAGCATCCGTTTGCGGAGGTCCGCACTCAGAAAGTTTATGTTTACGTCGATTATGATTATGAGTACTATTCTTAGTATTTTTATGCGTTGCATGCTGATTATTGGGCCATCTCTGGCAACACTCGGGGGAAGGTGGGCCAATCGTGACGGAAGAGGTCGTCACGCAATGGAATGTCTTGTCTCTCTTTTTTTTTTCTCTCTCTCTCTCTCTCTCTCTCTCTCTCTCTCTTTCTCTCACCCCCAAAAGGATGGCCTCGGCTCCAGGCTCCACGACGTGATCGCTGGCATGGCAATCGCATCCAAGATGGGCATGGTCCTGAGCATCGTTTAACCGATCCCCATCCCCACTGGCCTGGACTTGGTCCCACTGCCCGACGTACCACGCTTGGTTAGATATATGTTACCTATTCCCACCCGGGGGCTGGACTGGTGGTGCCGAGATAACATGGCCCAGCTGGATGGGGGTCGGTTAGACGATGCTGAGGTTCTGGGCGGAGTTACTTTCAGAGGGCAGGGTAATGGTTGTCATGTGTCGCACGGCGTCGACATCATGAAAGTTGCCGGTGTCCTGTTCGGCTTGGAGGACCCACGGTTGTTGTTCACGGGTCGCCCGCCGAAGTTCGACCAGGTTTGGCCGGGGCTTTTGGCGCTCGAATCGGGCACGAGGAGGTTCGTTCCAAAGCCTAAAGAGAACATCTTTATCGCCAACCACTGCGTCGCATGCGAGGTTGACGCAGTCCCTGGCATCTCCAGGCATGGTACAACCTGGTATCCCCAGGCGCGATACTATTCCGAGCGATTTCTGGGACAGTTGCGCAATGCGTCTCGCATTTGGAGAGAGCCATTGGCGTTCGAAAGAGGCTCGACGTCTGTAGCGATCCACGTCAGGCGCGGCGACGTGGACCCTGCCGACAAGCTCAGAGGCACCAGTGACCTCTGGTACCTCAGCCTCATGGAGCAGTTGAGAAGGCTCGCGCCCAACGCGGACATACATGTGTTCAGCTCCCTGGAGGCAGGGAGGCAAAGCTCTGAGTTCGACGCCTACCGCTCGCGGGGCGCCACGGTGCACTTGGATGGCGACCCTCTGGAGGCTTGGGCACACTTCGCCGCTGCCGATGTCTTCGTCATGGCCAAGAGCAGTTTCTCGCATGTGCCCGCGCTTCTGAACGGCAACTGCGTGGTCTACCAGCCGTATTGGCACCGGAAGTTGAAAGAGTGGGTGATTGTTGAGGCGAATCACACCGCGCCGCTCAGCGCTGCGGCCGTGAAGGCACTGCACGGCTGCATTGGTAACAAGAGCGCACGCCAAAACAATCGCAAGGTGTAGGGAGCGGCGGCTGACGGTCCACGATAGTACAAGGACCCGTGGTTCAGGAGAACAAACTTACCAATCAGACTCAATTCGCCATAGCCAGGTATGAAAAAAAAACGGCTTAACGCTTCGCGTAACTTCACCAGCCCATCGAGGAATGTCTAGGGGAGCTGCCCTTTCATCATTTGGATACCTCGGGTAGCCTCAGTGAACTGGAGGCCTCTTGGATGCCTCTCGGACTCGCTTGGGATGTATCCTGTGGTGCTGCTGGTGGCCTCACAAAGTGTCTTTGGGGCATCTTGGGGGCTCTTCGGAGCCTCTTGTGGGCCCATTGGGGGCCTCTTGGGGGCCTCTTAGGGGCCTCTGGGGGCCTTCATGGGCCCGCTGTAGGCCTTCTTGGGACCATCTTGGAGGACATCGATCAAAGGAGGGGCGGTCCCCAATTAGGGTTCCCCTCCTCAGAGCCCCTAAAACCGCCTCGTGGGGCTCTCCTGGGGCGTTCTTCGGGCGTTGTTGGGCGTTTTGGGGGCCATCTTGGAGCCATTTGTGGCCTCGGAAGGCCATCGGAAGCGAAACGGCGAGAATGCCAAAATCATTAATTCTCCCCTTAGGTTTCGGAAGGATGTTGGCCTCTTGAGGGCGTCCTGTATAACTCCCAAGGCCGTTTGGACCAGTCTTGGAGCGTTGTTGTGACCTGCTGAAGTACATTGAAAGCCAGCTTGAGCGACCTCGCACTACCTTGAGCCATCTTGGAAGGCATCGTGGCCTCCCTGAGGCCTTCTTGGAACTATCTTGGGCCGTGTTCGACGCTCTGGTTACCCGCCGCTCCCCTCCCGTCCAGGCCCAGGGTGAGGGGGGAGGGGGAGGCGTCAAGCCGTGTGGCTCACTCCCACCCGCCCTCCCAACGCATAGGCAGTGCTTGAGCCTTGGGCCCCGATCCCACTAGGTTCACGAGTCCCGTCCCGTCGGAAGTACAGAGCAGAGACAATATGAGGACACCTCCGCCGTCCCTGCCAAAAACCATGCAAAGTGATCGCAGGGCGCGCGCGCATGATGATCCAGACTTTGCCGCGGAAAGAGTACGTACTTTGTATGGTCTGTAGGGGATCGTGAGCATGCATGAAGCAGTCGATAATGAGGGCGCACCCCCGCCGCCCCTTCTGTCAAAAACCTATCCACAATGATCGCGGGGCGTCCGCGCATGGACCAGCTTCTGCCACACAGTGCACTGTGCATTGTGCGGTGGCAGGAGTGGTGGGCCTGCGCAGAGCGGACATTTGAGGGCACCGCCACCGTCCCTGTCAAAGGCGATTGCAAAGTGATCATGCCCCGCGCACGGTCCAGATTTTGCCGCACATTGTATGTTGTATTGTGTTCTGGCAGGGATGGTAGGCCTGCAAAGAGCGGACAAGATGAAGACACCCCCCGCCGTTCCTATCGAAATTGATGCAAAGTGCCCAAGGGGGCGCCCGCGCCCGGTCCAGATTTTGCTGCAATGTGCCTTTTGCAATGTTTCTGACAGGGACGACGGGAGGGGTGCCCGCATCGTCCCAGGTTTGTCGCCGGTCGGGTAGGGGAGGGGTGCATCGAAGACGCCTAGTGCGAATCACCGCCGCCCCCTGCCTTTTGGAATCGCCCATGGGGCCGAGTGTTGTGGCAAAAGCTCTGCCAAGCTATCGGACCATGTGCTCCCCCAGCCGCTGTGGAACCCTTTGGGGAACACGTGGGTGAGAATGACAGGGAAGATCAGGAGAAGGAGGAGGAGGAGGAAGAGGAGGAGGAGGGCATCTTGGGAGCCTCTGGGGGCACTCTTGGAGCCTCCTGGGAGCTTCCTGGGGGCCTCTTGGAGGCATCTTGGGGGCCTCCTTGGGCCTCTTGGGGACCTTCAGGGGCATCTCGGGGGCCTCTTTGGCAGTCTTTGGGCAGACTTGGAGCCCTCTTGGAATGCTCCAGGGCCATCTTGGAGGCCATCTTGGGCGTCTTGGAGGCCTCTTGGTCCGTCTTGGGGCCCTCTTGGTGCTGACTTGGGGGCCTCTTGGGACGTTCTGGGGCCATCTTGGAGGCCTCTTGGGGGATTTGGGGGCGATCTTTGGGGGCTCTTGGGCCGTCTCGGGCCGTTGGAAGGTCGAAAAGAAGCAAATGCCAAAATCATTCAAAAACCTAAGGAAAATCACTGATTTTGGCCTCTTGGGGCCATCGTGGAGGCCTCCTTGGAGGCCTCTTGGGCCGTCTTGGAGACCTCTTGAGGCCTCTTGGGCCGACCTCTTGGGCTGTCTTGGAGCTCCTTGGGACCGTCTCGGGGGCCTCTTGGGCGGTTCTGGGGCCATCTTGAATGCCTCTTAGGGGATCCTGGGGCGATCTTTGGGGGCTCTTGGGCCGTCCCGGGCCGTCGGAAGGCCGAAAAGAAGCAAATGCCAAAATCATTCTAAAACCTAGGGACAATCAATGGCTTTGACCTCTTCGGGCCTTCCTGGAGGCCCTTGGGGTCATCTTGGGCCGTCTTGGGCCATCTTGGAGCCATCTTGGGCCGTCTTGGTGGCCTCCTGGCCCGTCTGACACCGTTGGAAGCTGTCTTGGGGGCCTCTCTCGGCAGATTCGGGGCCCTCTTGGGGTGCCCCATTGCCGTCTTGGAGGCCATTTTCAGCGTCTTGAAGGTCTCTTGGGCCGTCTTGGGGCCCTCTTGGTGCCGACTTGGGAGCCTCTTGGGCCGTTCTGGGGCCATCTTGAAGGCCTCTTGGAGGATCTTGGGGCGATCTTTGGGGGCTCTTGGGCCGTCCCGGGCCGTCGGAAGGCCGAAAAGAAGCAAATGCCTAAATGATAAAAAAAGGGAAATCACTGACTTGGGCTTGGAGGCCCTCCAGGAGGGCCTCTTGGAGGCCTCTTGGGCCGTCGTGGAAGCCTCTTGGGGGCCTCTTCGGCCGTCTGCTGTCATCTTGCGGCCGTCTTGGAGGCTTCCTGGGCGAATTTAGAGGCATCTTGGACTCTCTTGGGCCGTCTTCGAGGGGACCATCTTGGGCGAACTTGGAGGCCGTCTTGGCCGTCTTGGAGGCCATCTTGGAGCCATCTGGACTGGGAAAATTTTGGCAACCACGTCTTCCGCGTGGCCAGCGGGACTGGCCGAAGCCCCGGGGAAGAGTTCTTCTTTGGGGAACAGAACCAAAACCAAACCAATCGGGTTCAGCACGCCAGGCACCCATGTGGCAAGACCACAGGGGGCGGCAGATCGAATGGCTTTCGGCCCATCCCGCCACGAATGTTTGTTAGGATCTCGTGGGAGGCCTCTTGGAGGTAGTTTTGAAGCCTCTTCGGGGCCGTTTTCAAGCCTTTTCGGGGCCGCTTTCGGATATTTGAGGGGCCTCTTGGGGCCTCTTGGGGGCTTCTTGGGGCCTCCTGAGGGCCTCTTGGGGCGGAAGGCTCGGATTTTCGGTTCGTGTTCCATCTCTTGGGCCCCTTCTTGGGTTATGATGCTCCAACCTACTTTAGCCTTGACCACCAGGAAGAATTTCGAGCGCCCAAAAGAGTACCGAAATGCAAGGGTTTTCACGTGTCGGGCCCTGGGAGACACTCGCCCGACACTGTTTCGACACTCTTTTGACACTTTTCGGGGTGCTCGAAATTATGTCTGGGATGTGGTCCGTAAGTAGGATGGGAACAAAATAATTCTTGGGCCGTCTTGGGGTCCTCTTGGGCCGTCTTGGGCGCCTCTTGGGCCATCTTGGGACGCTCTTAGGCCGTCTTGGGGCCTTCTTGGAGGCCTCTTGGGCCGTCTTGGGGTGGTTTTCGGGGCCTCTTGGGCCTTCTTGGAGCGCTGGACACCAGAAAATGCGATAAAGCTAGTGTTTTACATGTTTTGTGTTGGTGCGCTATGCATTTTGTTACCAGGTATATCATAAGCCGCTTGGTTATCAACAAAAGCCAGATTCTTGTGCGCGCGCACTCGCTGGAATCAGATCAACAGCATGAGTGTGTTGCCGTTCTGCCACAAGAAACCATGTGGGCCGCACGCGCATGTATATCGAAGTCACCCAGCAATCATCGCGCACCTGCCAACTCCGTCAAATGATTCACTGCGAACCACACGCGCGCGTCTCAACGCGCGCGGCAAATTCCTTGCAGCACCATTGGTTTTCTAAGTGTTCCCATACAGACGTCTTCAAACACCAATGACAACAGGAGTGCTTCTTGGTATGTGAACACAAAACAACAATGTCAGAATTGCTGAATGCCTCTGCGCGCGCACGGCCGCATTGTCTTCGTCAGCACCAGGGTGATCATCATCGTCAGCGCCGTCATCATCACAATCGGCTTCATCACAATCGTCGCCGTCATGATCCCTGCCCATGTTATCATCATCATCAGCATCATCATCATCATCATCCTCCTCATCATCATCATTATCATTATCATCCTAATCGCCGTCGTCATCGTCGTTGTCGCCGTTTTCGCCATCAGCGCCACCATTAGCACCATCATTATCATCACCCGCCCGCACGGGTCAAGGATCTGCAGGCTAATGGAAAATTGCATCACTGCGCCAGCTGAATGTTGCCAGCGAGTTGCGGGTGGGTGAGGAAGATGTTTGCACGAGCACTGGGGTCGGCGCCAATCATTGTAGGTGGTCGCGCGCGGCGTAGCTTGGTTGCTAAGTTTTGTTCAAAACAGAAAGTGGAATCCTAGAAAAACGTTGGAGACGCAACAAAAGTAGACCCCCCTGACCGAGGCCGGGGCTGTGGGTTCCTTCCGCGCATCGCGTTTCAGTTATGTCTTCGCGCGACCACCCGTCGTGAATATCCCAGAAACCATCCCAGCCGACCCACTCTCGGCTCCCCCTGTTCATCCCTTGCCCCAATAAAAAAAAAAAACATAACAAAAGCACAAGAACAAAAAAAAAAAACAGTGCGGTGCACATGCATTGATGTCGCGAGTGCGTGTTGCAGCAACCCTCTTGCTGAATAACGTCATGCGGGCCACATGAGCGCGGCCTGGCACGCGCATGCCAAGCTTATACAGTGGAG